TTTGGACCTATAGTTGAAATTTGTTCTTTTTTCCTTTCCTTTTCCTTTTTGTTTTAGTTAAATTGGAGGGTATATCGGTCAGTTTATGTTAAAAATTAGGGAAAAGGACGTTCGGCACACAAAAAGTGAAAGGTAGGGACGTTCTGCACCAAAAAATCAAAGATTGGGACGTTTTCCACAACAACCGGTAAAGGTAGGGACGTTTTGCGCCAATTACCCATTACTAAAAATTGTTTTCAAAAAAAAAAAAAAAAATGAAGTTTGACTTTGTTTTAATTGAAAACAGCCAAAACGACTTTTTTGACATTTTTCGTTTTCTTTGTAAATTTGAAACTCGTTTATGAAAATAGGTAAGTAAACGTGTTTTCAATATTTTCGAAAACTGAAAACTAAAAATGATCTGAAAACAGCAAAGAGAACAGATCCGAAGTTTTTCTTCTCAATATCCAACACTATTCTAGCTGTCTATTGCCTTTATAATGATAATGTCGTATCATCTTTGTCGATTCACTCTACAAATTTTTTTATTTTTTTTTCAAGTTGGTTCGACTCTTTAACCTTTAATTATTTATTTTTTTCGAGTCAATGTTCAGATCAATTTCTAAAATGTAATAATCTCTTAAATAATAAGCAACAAACGATTTTTTTTTGTAATTTCTTACTTGTACTGTAGTAGTTAAGATTATACGTGCTAATAGATGAACATCTTACCGACGTTCATAGATCAAACTTTTCTAAAGTCATAAAGTTGAACTGAATCAAAAGTAATCAACATCAAAATATTAAATGATTGAATAGACTACTTTGGTAGAACAAAGTTTGGTATCACATTTTAGCATTGGGACACTAATTCATTTATATTTATGTGCTATAGGGCCATCACTTTATATCACTTGATTAATACTCTATCCCTTTCTTCAATCTTACAATAAAATATCTTAAAGTCATATCTAAACATGAAGGGCTTCCTGCCCTTAATTCTACAGCTCATGCTATCACTATTTAGCCAACCCTAAACCTTGCTTGTTTGACTTTAACATAGTTGACTTTTTATTTTTGCCTAATTGACATACATAATTTGACCTCGCATAAGGGTAATAGAGACCGTTGATCACTAAAATAGTCTGAGAACTATTTTCCCGGTACCTTTTGGTCTTGTCCTAATCCCTCGTGAATGACTACTCTTGAAAGTCGGCCTCTCAAGGTCTATTCTAAAAAAGTTATCATCGATTCCTGTAACGTAAAAAATCATTTTATCAATGGCATATCGAGCATTGAGCCTAAATTTACAATAATTTGGCAAGTTTGTACATAAGTTCCATAACCACGCCAGATAATTTGCAATTAAAACATAGAGAATATATAA